GAACCGAGGGATTATTAATAATCTTATCAAAAAAGGATTTGCATGAAAAGACCCCAGAAGAGACAAGATTCCACACCTTACTATCGAAAGACGAAGAAAGAGAAACCCTCTCGAGCACAACCAACAAAGAAGCCAATTCCCCCGCCTCCCTATCATTCAAGTTTCTAATGAGATCAAAATTCCAGGATATGGGTGCCATAGACGAGCAAGCCACCGACGCTATAGACACATTTGGAGAATGAGCCAACCTGTAAAGAAGGGGAAAAGATCTAGCAAACGAAATATCCCTTAACCAAACATCCTCCCAAAACCGAACATTCTCCCCATTCCCCACTTTGAATGAAAGACAATTAGACACAAGAGGATACAAACGAGAAATGGATTTTCATGGAGAACGACAATTGCCTCTATTAACCACATTAGAATCCCTACTATTGGATTGAATTCCATACTTGCTTTTAATAACTGAATACCGTAACGACTCACTTTCAAGAGGAAATCTCCACAACCATTTGCTCAATAAAGCAATATTCCTAGCAACGATGTTTCCTATAGCCAAGCCACCTTTTGTCGTCGAAAGAGAAACAGTCTCCCATCTAACCAAATGAACTCCTTTACCCTCCTCACACCCTTCACAGAGAAAATCCCTCATCAATTTCTCAATCTTTTTTGCAATGCTAACCGGAACTTTGAAAAGGGACAGAAAATAAATAGGAATAGATCATAATACGGATTGTACCAACGTATACCTCTCTCCCTTAGACAACAAAGCTCGCTTCCATCCCTCCAATCTTTTCCTAATTTTGACAAGAACAGGTTCCCAAAAAGACACCAATCTAAGATCTCCTCCCAACGGAAGCCCTAGATATTTGAAGGGAAAGGAATCAATTGAACATCCCAACATGGCCACCACCCTATGCACATGACTATCGGCCAAATTAATACCCACAACACTGCTTTTGCTAAGATTGACCTTGAGGCCCGACACTATTTCAAAAATTCTTAGAATCTTCAGCAGACTCCCCACCTTACTTTCCTCCTTTGATGAGAGGAAAATAGTATCATCCGCAAATTGTAAGTGAGTCACACTTATCCTATCCCTTCCCACCACAAACCCTTTAATGACACCCTTATCCTTAGCTAAATCAATAATCCTACCCAACACATCAGCAACCAAAATTAAAAAAAATGGTGATAAAGGATCACCCTGTCTTAGACCCTTGGATGCTTGGAAAAAATCCCCCGCCTTGCCATTCACAATAATTGCCATATTGCATGACGACAAGCACCCCTAAATCCATTTCCTCCACCTAACACCAAACCCCTTCTTTTTCAAAACAAAATCCACAAAACCCCAATCAACATGGTCATATGCCTTCTCAAAATCTACCTTAAAGACAATACTCTCCTTTCGTAGTCCCCTATACTCCTCTACAACCTCGTTGCCCACTAAAACTGTAAAAAATAAACTGATGTTTTATTTATTGATGTATTGATTGTTACAAGATTGATATATTGTATTACAAATCAGAGTGGCATTATATAGGAGAGGGTTTGGGTAGTAGGTGAGGAGTAGTGGAGTGTAGTAGGTGAGTGTGAGTAGTGGAGTGTAGTAGGTGAGTGTGAATGGTAAATTCTAACAAAAACTACATCCAAAATCTGCGGACCCTGCACGAATGCACCTTGTGCCGAAGAAATAGTTCCCCCCAGGACAACTCTTAGCCTTCTAGAAAGCACTTTAGCTAAAATCTTATAAAGAGATGTGACCAAGCTAATGGGTCTAAAATCTCCAATCTTGATTGACTTCTCCTTCTTGGGAATTAAACAAATGAAGGATGCATTGGTGCACAAATTAACCTGCCCACTCTCAAAAAACTCAGAAAAAACCCTCATAAGATCCCTTTTTACAATTTCTCAACAATCCTGAAATACTGCCATTGAAAAACCATCTGGGCCAGGAGCCTTGTCTCTGTCGCACTCAAATACAGCCTGTCTCACCTCATCTTTGTCGAAGGGTCTTTCCAGCCAACTAGCAGACGCTAAATCCACTGGGACCCAATTAATGCCTTCAATCCTTGGACGATGCATCAGAGTATAGATTTGAATAAAAATTAAAAATTTCCTTGACAATAAGCTCCTCCTTACACACGACTTCACCTGAAGCCACTTCCAAATTCTTAATAAAACTCTTCTTCCGCTTCACCAACGCAACTCTATGATAAAATCTAGAGTTGGTATCACCCTCTCTAGCCCATTTCAACTTAGCTCTTTGACCCCCAAAAATTTGCTTCATAAAAATGATCTCCTCAAACCTCATTCTTAGCATTGACCTCCTATACCTTAACATTTGAGATAAGTCCTCCCCGGCCTCCTTCACATCTAACTCCCCAATCTCCCGAACTAGTTCTGCTTTCATCTCACCCGTATCCCCAAAAACTTCACGTTTCCAAATTTTAAGATTTTCCTTGACTCCTCTCAACCTTTGCATAAACTTAAAACCCTCCCAGCCACGAACACGAGCATTTTCCGACCATTCCTTAAAGAATGCCTTGAAAGCACGATTTTCCAACCACATATTCTCGAACCTGAGTGGGGTTGGACCCCATTTCAAATGACAGCTCTCTAGAATCACAGGACAATGATCTGACACTACTCTGGGCTCTACCTCTTGCCTTACATCCAGAAACAACTCCTCCCACCCCAAAGTATGAAGAAACCTATCCAACCTACAGCACACCTGATTTTCCTGCAGATTAGACCATGTGAATCGCGCATTACTCAGAGGAAGATCAATCAACTCACACTCCTTGATAAAAGAATCAAAGTCCCGCATACTCCTATTTGTGGAAACCCCATTTAATTTTTCGGAAACTTGCCTAACCACATTAAAATCTCCACCCACACACCAATAAGGAGAACAAAGCCCAAATAATTCCACCAACTCATCCCACCACTCCCGTCGATCCCTGATCTATTAGGACCATACACCCCTGTCAACCACCATTCCTTATTATCCCTATTCCTGAACCTAATAGACAAAGAAAATACCCCAACAACTACCTCACACTCCACTACAACTCTCTCATCCCACGTAATCAACATTCCCCCTGATCTTCCCCTAGAAGGCAGTACAACCCATCTCCTAAATCGAGTCCCCTAGACACTTCTAATAAAAACCCTATCACACTCCTCACACTTTGTCTCTTGAAATATAACTATATCTGGTTGTTGAATTTTCAAAACCTTTATAACTGTATCTGGTTGTTGAATTTTCAAAACCTCTTTAACTACCGCCCTTTTCCTACGAGACCGTAGTCCTCGAACATTCCAACTAAAGATCTTCATCAGGAACCGTCATCACCCCTTACCTCTTTTCCCCGCCCCTCATAATTGATGCCACTTGCAAGGTTTCTTAATTCCCTCAACCCTTTCCTTAACCCCGAACCTCTTTGATTTGCATCCCCCCTAGATGGAATCCCCACCCTCTTAGCTCGAGACTTCTCTGCAGTATTCCTGACCAGTGCCAACCCAAGAGTCTCAAGTAACTGTGTAAAATGAGGGACATCATCCTCCTCCAAAGGAAAAGACACATACTTACTCATTTCCCTCAACCACCTTTCAGACTCAGAACTATCGTTGCCATTAACAGTGTTCCTTTGAACCTATGATTAGGAGACTTCTCCCTTGAAAGATCAGTCCTATTAGTGTCCATATTATTCAACTGTGGGTTCAAACTGCCACTGGTAGAGGTCCTATTCTCATGTAACAAAGGCAAATTATCATTCTTGTTAGAAACCTTTCTAGAAGCTTGTAAGAAACAAGGACCCAATACTGACTCCCCCTCCTCCCCCGCCCCTCTAACTGACACAAAATTAGGACTTTGAATATGAGGATGAAGTGAAGAATTCATGTTGTCCCTGTCAATAGAGTCACCAACCTGTTCACAAGAATTGAAGACTGCCTCACCTTCAGATCCCCCAGCGTGCTTAATACAAGAAGAAACTGGTACCTCCTCTTCATGATATAACCCAGTGAGATTCAAGTCGAAATCATCAGCTCTCTCCTCCTCCGAATAATCCTCAGCTTCCTCATTCGGACCCAAAGATTCATCAGAACTATCTTGAGAGCCATATTCTTCCAATGCTTGGAGCACCCCTTGTGGATCGCAGATGCCCCCTTCCACTTCATGAATCATTATGTCAACATCAGGTAAAAATTCGATTGCTACGTCCTCATCTTCAGCCAAATCATTAACATTAGTGGGTCGCTCAATCCGAAGAAGTTGACCTGTGGAGTGATCGACCACATCGGCCAAACCCAGTTGAATTTCGTTTGGGTTTAACCCAACCAGTGTAGTCGGAACCTGATCAGCCCCAATCTTCACATCCTTCTGTCGCCGACTGTCGTTACCTTCATCCCTATCGTCCACCTGGGTCGCTGTCTATATACAATCATTCACCCCATCGAGAACACCCATCGTCTCCTTTACTTGACAAAGCCCTAGATCCGAACCAGTAATAGAAACACCCATTTGGACTGATTTCGGCCCATCATGATTCAACATGTAACTTGGTTGTTTGTTACCCAGTGGGCTATCATCCACATGCTTCACTCCTTGACCCAAATGACTAGAGCTCATAAGGCCCAAATCAAAATTCTCCTCTTCACGAACCTGGTCTGCAATTGGTGGAAGAGAAAGACCCAAACCTGACATGGGCCGAAACTCATCCAACAGCCCATCTTCACCTAAAATGGCCTTTCGAGATGGAGCCCAGAACAATAGGCCCATGTTCATTACACTTATGCCCAACGCTTGACCTCCCCTCTTCGTTGACATTCTCTCTGTCGAATATCAGAGCCCCTTCATTAACCCCAACTTCCTTAGGAACCAGATAGCCACGTGTCCCAACTGTCCCCTCAGACTTTTCATCTCCCCCACCTCCGGCGCCAATCTCCGATGGAACCTCTCGCCGAAAATCCTAGTGCCAATGACCCTCCCTTCGTTTGAAGGACTTCGAAATCGCTTTTACTCGCACAGTGATTGCTCCATGGGCCGTCGAGATCTCCATAGTTGATGGTAGAAACCCAGAAGCCGATCCTCTCACCTTCAACCTCGCCTCAAAAAGATTTTCAAAATTTTTTGTTCTGTTATCCACTTCTAAGAGCCTCCACATTTCCTCCCAATTTGTTCAAAGGTCCTGATATTCCATAGATTAAACGGCAAATCACAAATAGCAATCCAGCCTCCGTACGAAGCAATCACAGTCGATCTCCTATGCTTCTCTTCTGACCACCTTTCCAACAATACCGCAATACCCTTTTCAAAAAACTGCCACCCTTTACCCCCATAGAAAGCAGCCATATCCTCGGTCTTGGTGAAGAACAGAGCTCGATTCAACTGGAAGGGATGCAGCTTAATAGATATCTTGTAAGATTTACATAATTCCTTCTCAATTTGCTCCCACCCTATAAAGAAATCTGCCCTCTCACACACCACCACCTGATGGAGTACTAGCGAAGAACCATCTTTTAACGAACTCGATGATGGAAACTTGAGAACCTCCGCATACGACCATCCTCTGTTTGCCCCTGTTTTCATTTGCTGACTCGTTTCCTCTGTGTCATCCCCCTTATTGGCCCCATTCGATCGAACATCATTGCGAAGATCCTTTGCCATGGCCACCTTTCTTGTCTCATTACCTACCTTCTTGCCTTCTACATCTCTAGCGCAGTTGTTCTGCCTTGCTCCAAATAGGATTGTTTCCAGCAACCTAGCCACATCCTTCCACCCCTCTCGATTGACTCCTGCTGGGATGATAATGTTTGATGTCCTAATCCCTGCAACCCACTTGGATAGCTCCACAAACTCACCTCTCCTATTTGAATAACACTGGAGACAGAACACAGCCGAGCTATTCGTATACTTTCTGAAGAACTGCCGCATGGCACTCATGGTTCCAGCATCTTTGAGAACCTGTGATGCCCAGAAAACCCCTCCCAGATCAAGTTTCAATGTGAAACTGCGATGCCTATTCCTTTCTATGATTTCCACTACCTCCCCATGTGATCTCTCATTGACCTGAACAATAATTACCTTCTGCTCAATCTTCAGATCAAGCACACGATCACTGTAACTCCTCATTCTCTCACATGGATATACAATTGTAAATTCAAAGAACTCCGCCTATGAAAAGACTGTAGCTTCCGAATCCCTTCCTTCGAAACCAATTTTGAGTTCTACAAGGTGATAGACATTCTACTCTGTCGTTAGTACAGATTTACTATTTTATGTGCAATGACTTTGTGCTGATATAAATTTTGTGCATTGAAATTATATGGAAAACAATACGGATTGCTTTGTTCTCATGAAATTTCTTTTCATATCTTTATTTTATCAAAATATAGGTGTTGCATCTGATGCATATCCTGTTTCTGCGTGTGTAATTATTTTCAGGCTTGTGCTCCATGGTACAGCAGGTTCTATGTCCCCGCAAGTTCAGGCTCGGAATCCACAACTTCCTGGGTCGACACCAGTCAGTACTTTCTTTCCATTAACATTAAAAAGTGATTCTATATTCTTTATTCTTATCTTTTCTTTTGGTTTAATAAATTTGTGTGTACTTACCCAAAAAAAATGTGTGAGCAGGAGATAAAGACCGAGATGAATCAAGTATTGAACCCCAGAGCAGCAGGTCCTGAAGGATCATTAATTGGAATCCCCGGTATATTTCAATTGATTAAATCCCTTTGTTGTGATTAGCGTGTATCCTTCTTATAACATTTGGTTGATTAGATAAGCAGGATTTCTCAGTTGTTTTCCAATTTAAATTTAGTGTTGAAATTTCTTGAAGAACTCCTGGAACTTAACAGCCATATTCAGTTATTTATTTTGTTCATTTGACATAGAGATGCCTGTAGCTGATTAGTGCCATACTGTTTCAGGATCAAACCAAGGTGGTAACAATTTGACTTTGAAAGGATGGCCTCTCACAGTAAGTGTATCACGGTTCCCTGCTCCGTTATCTTCCTTGACCATGGCAATATTAATTAGCTTGCTTTTGTTCAATTTTAATTTCTATTTTGTTGAAAGGGTAATGGTTTGCAAGAATTTTGCGTAATGAATGTGAGTATTTGTTGACACTTGACAATGCTTTTGGTGTCTTTATTTGTAGTGAAAAAAAATAATTATATATGCTAGTTGCATGTGTAGTTTCTTACTTTGCACACTTCTGAATTGAGGTAGGAACACGGAGATATTGGTCTTTGATATGGTCAGTCCTGGCTTGTTGGGTAGAAACCTGGTTGGGATTCCATGTGCACCTCATTGAGTTTGTCTTATCTTTAAGATGTTGGGGTTTGCACTTCTTGCACTTCTAACTGTAATTAGAAGATGATAAATTACCAGACCGGAATTTCTATGTGAACTTGATGGTTATCATTGAGTTGAAGGCTTCAATTCCAAAAGGTGGCATAGTATTTCATTCTTCATCTTCTATTTGTAAACTTCTGTATCTTGTAAAGCTATGGTTACTGTTTTGGTAGAGAGGTAGCAATCACAGTGTTCTAACATTTCATGAGAAGCAAAGTTGGTTGTTGAAGTAGAGAGAGATTTTATATAAGGTTTCATTTGCGAACCCCTAGCCCATTGTTTTACAACTAATGTGATTGAGCATTCCTCTTAATCTCAGACTTGAACTCTTCTTTTGTTTAGTAAAGAGAATGCGTTTTTCCTTCTAGATTTCCCAATTTTTTTGTTCTCCAGCATAAGCTCCGCTAGACTTTTTAAAATTGTAATGACTTTTTTATGGCTAATTTGTAGTTCCGAAGGCTGAAAAACACTTACAAAAAGGAATTTTTTTTGATATTCTAGGTCTACAACTTCTGTACTATCTATATTGTAGGTCAAGTATAGCCTTCGCATAAATTATTTTTTCTTTTTAAAACCATATATAGAACACATTTTGTATAAACAATTAGGGGAATCCTTTCGTCATCTTGTTAATTTTATTAGTCTTGCAGTTGCAGACTTGAGAGTACTAAGATTTAGCGATTTGATGGAATCAATCCTACAAGGATTTCATACTGCAACAGAATTCTGAGATTTGAATAGCAACTCAATAAGAACTAAAACTTGCCAAATTCAGTGATCCATTTTGTGGAGGGCTAAATTCTTATGTTTGTATTTTGAAAGGAAAGGGGGTATAGATGATAGGAAACTTATTTGAACCTAATTCTTCCTAAATTTTCTATTTCAATGAATCATAAGCCAGCCTGATGGAAGGGGAAGACCTATGATGTAGAAGATCATAACATGAGTGATCAGCATATTTGGATGCAGGAAACATTCTAGAATTTTCGTTAGACTTGGTAGCTCACATACAATTCTCATATTCAGCTACCCCAAGCCTTTGTTTTGACTGCATTGATGCTTGCATTTATTATCAAGGGCAAATTTCACTTCACCCATTACCTCCCATCATTTGGAAATAAACACGTAACTTCCCATGTTCGTGGACTAAAGCGTGCAGTAACAACACTTGTAAATTTATCCAAATACATCCGTATTCTTCCTCCAAACCTATATATCTATACTATTATATAACAAGAGAGAGTTCCCGCTGCTACAGTAAAACTACTGTTTCAAAGGTTTTCTGTTTTTCTTTACTCTTTTGCTCCTGGGTAACCCAGAAAGGCCATGGCTGAAGCATGAAATGTACTCTGAAGGCCTGTGTTTCATGTGGAAGCTTAAGGTTTGACACTTTGACATAGTTCTTGAAGCAAAACAACGGTTCAATGCTCACTCATGCAATTTATTTGCTGGAAATTCACGACTTTCACATTTAGAATCAATCCTATACCCAATCTAGGCTTCATTTGGAGAACTCATAAATAAACTTTTTAACAAAGGACTGTAACCCAAAAAAACCATACCCGCACATATGATTGCATATATATGTACATATGTTTACCTATTTCACACAAACCAAAAAATCGTAATTTGCCCTTCCCAAAACAATCATTGTGATACAATTTAACCTAAAAACAAAGGAATTGAAACAATATTTATTTTGATCACCCAATATAGGATTTCAAACAATAGTAAATCTAGACTACAGTTATGACGGGTGCTCTAGGTGCAGTTGTTGGGGGTGCAGAGGTAGCAGAAATGGTGATGGGGGGGTGGGGGCAGGAGTGGAGGGGTATTTTTGTCTTAACAATGACTTGCTCTCCATATAGGCTTGTGGCTTTCAAAGCCTGCTAACTTGGATAGAAAAGTTAACTTTGTACTTATTTTCCAAACCATAGGGAGTTATGTGCTTATTTCCAAATGACATGGCTAATGGGCTCATGAACCAAACCCTTTGGTAAAGTGAATTTTCCCTATTATCAATAAGCCTATAAGAGAATACGTGCTGAGATAATTATTCATTTCTCTTTTGAATCTGTTGTTAGCATGTCTTTATTTCTTTGTTGTTGTGAGGATTTTAGGGTTTAGGGTTTGGAGTCACACCAGCGCTTTGGAGTGTTACAGGGGCCTTTCGGTCATGGGTGTTGTATATGGGTGTTCAATGTTTGAGTGGTGTTGTATGGGTGTTCATTATGGGTGTTAGATTTACCATGGTGAGGCTAAAGCTGGTGGTGTGCAGGTGCAGGTAGTGCGCAAGCAAAGGAAGAGGTTTGGTAAGTGATGATTAGATTCATTTGGTTGTTCTTCTGGTTCTTTAGCCCTTGATTAAGTTATGCCTATCCAGGGTCTCTTGAGAGAGAGTTCACAGTGGGGTTCTGGGTCACAGTGGAGTTCTTTGGTAGTTCAGTCGTTGAATCCGAGATCGGTGACCGGAGAATAGAATGCATGTGGTCAGTGGAAGCATGCGGGAGATTGGAATGCGAGTGGTCAGTGGAAGCATGTGCCAAGTTTTGGTGATGTGGATCAGTGTATTGGGAAGTGTTTTGGAGAACAACTTTTTGGACATTTGTGACTTTGAATGTTGTGGTGGGTCAGGGTGTGTCGGGAATTTAAGCTTCTTGGGTTGTGTAGTTAAGAACTACTTAAGTACTTTGGTTTTCTTCCTTTTTTGTATTTTGTTTTTGCTTTTTATTTCTGCTCTTTCAAAATTAAAAAACTCGTGAGGCCGAGCGGTTGGTTGTGTGGATGCAAGCCGCAGTAGTAAGGGAGTTTACACACTCTGAATTTCTCTCTCTGCATTTCATTTCCTTGTACCTTGAATTTCATGTTTTTAATGAAATTTCTACTTTGCCAATCAAAAAAATGTTTAGACCAAATTGCTGTAGCAGATCATGTTTGCCGGCATTTTGAATACATGATGATATTTGATCATCAGTGAAATGAATTAATGTTGTGCTTCTGAAGTAAATAATGGCCATTATTTCCTCACTTATTTTAGAGTTAGTTTTAATTGTTATGCAAATTATGTATTTGGCCTCACAAACCATTCTTTACTGGTTCATTATGTGATTTTCAGTTCCAATTGCATTTGCAGTCGTTTGCTTATTATTTTGTGTTATTGTTTTACCCTTTTCCTTTTTTCTAGGGTCTGGAGCAGCTCCGCTCTGGGCTTCTCCAGCAACAAAAATCATTTATGCAGGGTTCTCACCCCTTTAATCAACTTCAGATGTTGACACCACAGCACCAGCAACAGCTCATGCTTGCACAGCAAAATTTGACATCCCCATCTGCTAATGATATGGAAAACAGAAGGTTGAGAATGCTCATGAATAACCGAAGCATGAGCCTTGGGAAGGATGGGCTTACAAATTCTGTTGGTGATGTAGTTCCAAATGTTGGATCACCTTTACAAGCTGGTTCTGTTTTGTCCCGTGGAGATCCAGATATGTTACATAAGGTGCTTTTTTACTCTGTCCAGCTACTTTCTCTCTGCAATTGGAGAAGTCGCTTCTCTGGATGTTATTTTTCCTTGCATTACCATTTAAGAATCCAAGGCCTTTTAAGTTCCTGATTTTTAATTTTTTTTTTTAATTTTTAATTTTAATTTTAATTTAATTTAATTTTATATTTTATATTTTTATTTATTTATTTTTTGTGTAGTTAAAAATGGCTCAGTTTCAGCAACAGCAGCAGCAACAGAGCAGCAATCAGCAACAGCTTCAGCAACATGCTCTTTCTGGCCAACAATCTCAGTCGTCAAACCATAATCATCATCAGCAGGATAAAATTGTGGGTGCTGGCAGTGTCGCAGCAGATGGTAGCATGTCAAACTCCTTTCGAGGAAATGATCAGGTCTGTCATTTTACTTCAATTTTCCCCCCTTTTTATTTTCCCAGATAAGGGGTTGTTTGGGATCAGCTTTTTTAGTGGCTTTTGGGGTTTTTTAGAAGCTAAAAAAACTATGTGTTTGGGAAGTTGCTAATGTGAAAAAGTTGACATGACATATGGATCCAAAAAAAAAAAATTGATGTGACATTTGGCTTTTTTAGCTGATGACAAACAAGCTTTTTGGCTTTTTTAGCCAAAAAGTTGGCTTCTTTTGCACATCTCAAACACCCCCCAAGTAATCCTTTTTCTAGCTACTAGTGAGTATTTGAGAAATAATTTAGAAGAGCGTTCATGCCCTTGGCATTCTCTCCACTTGGTGCAGACCTAAGCAGCTGAGAACTTTTTATATAGAAAATAATGCAGCATTAGGGATGCAAATAGATTCAGACATCTTTTTAAACCTATATTGACAGCTCTCGCGAGCTGTTGTGATAAATCTTTGGACTACTTTCTTGACTCATTATGTTTCTTATTCTCATAGTCACCCCCTCTGTCCCTTTTTCTCTCCATGTTTATTGGACCTTTTTCTCACTTAGGTCTATTTCTGTCATTCATTATTTTTCATGTGTACTTAAATGATACCTGCTTAATGCTTTCGCTGCATTGTGTAATCTTGGAATTACCCTTCAGGGAGGAAGAAAAGATTACTCCCAAGTAGTATGAGCTTTTTAATCTTTTCTTCTAACTAGGTCGGTCTCATTCATGGGGAATTTCCTTGGGACCAGGTGGACACACGCCGGTCTGTGTCATTTCAAAATGATAGGTATTTAGTATGCAATTTGTTTCTGTGGGGTTAGATACAAGTGATTGTGTTAAACCTTCCTTGCCTGGGCATGTCCTGGGTATTCATCTCTCTCTCTCTCTCAGTTTGGCCGTATTTATCAATTATATTTGGATAATCAAGATTCAAGAGAGTTACTACCAGTGTTTATACTAACTTTATAGACCTTTGTTTTGTTGGTTTACTGTCATCCCCAAAGGTTCCTTAAAGTAGTTTTGATGAACTTTGGTCTCCTTAAGCGTGCTAAATACTGTTTGTGTCAGGATGATGTGATAGTTTGCACTTTATACGTATTAAGAAGAATATATCGAGAGAGATGAATGGTGTTCACATCACAACCTTGGGGGTTAGGCAATGATGTCTTTGAAATTGTTTGTGTTAATGATGTGGTTGTAAACTTCATAACTTTGTCCCATATATTTGTCGAGTAGATTCCTAACATGGTTTTTGATGCATTTTAAGGCTTCAAAAAACCAGACTGGGAGAAAGAGAAAGCAGCCTGTATCATCTTCCGGTCCTGCCAATAGCTCTGGAACAGCAAACACAACAGGACCTTCCCCAAGTTCAGCACCCTCAACGCCATCGACTCATACACCTGGAGATGTGATCTCAATGCCTGCTTTGCCACATAGTAGTAGTTCTTCAAAGCCTTTGATGATGTTTGGTACTGATGGTACTGGAAGTCTTACATCTCCGTCAAATCAATTGGTGAGCAGATTCTTTATATTCTTGTGTCATTCGAATAAAAGTTATTTTATTTATTTTAATATAGGTATATAATTGCATAAACTCTCATTGGCATTTCATTTTCGCAGTGGGATGATAAAGATCTTGTGCAGGCTGACATGGATCGTTTTGTGGATGATGGATCTCTTGATGATAATGTCGAGTCTTTTTTATCTCATGATGATACAGACCTCAGAGATACAGTTGGTCGTTGCATGGATGTTAGCAAAGGTGAGTCAGCTGCAATTTTTTAACTTGCCATTAGCGTTACAACAAATTCTCAGAATTGAGATTTCTCGGATATATTGCGCCTCCTTATTTCCAGTGGTTAAAAGATGATTCAGTAAAAGTGCCCAGGGGGTGAACCCAGCTACATGATAATTGCACTAGAGCAAATGTAAAAAGAACACTTACTGACCTTCCCTCTAAGATTTCATGTTTATCACTTGTAGTGGAAACCTAAAATTTGTTCACTGCATTTAACCTAAGAGCCCCTTGATTTAAGGTGTTTTCTCTTTAATTTCAATTCCGGTCATTAGTTGTGGACTGTTATGCCTTTCATTTAAATCTAGATTTGTCTAAAATAAAATGTTTACATGCTTAAAGAACTGCTGGTTTATCTCTTTTTCTCTATTGATTATTGGTGCTTTTATTTCTGAACAATTGATGATTGAACTGCTTTAAGGACTAGTAACAAATATTTTGGTTCTCCAATACAGGTTTGAAACCCTAGATTAACCCTAGGCTGCACCATTTAGGTTTAGAACTGGAGATGGATAATCAAAAACTCAAAATCAAATTTTATCTATTTAGGGGATTGATTTATCCAAAAATCTAACCCTAGTGGAGATCTTGTCACCAAATCTATAAAGCTTTGAAGATATTTGGTGTTTTGACACACACAAGTGGTTGTGGGAGCCAATATTAGTAGTATATGTTAGTAGATGTGTTGTGTTTTAAAAATGAGAAACGCTACAATGTGCACCCCTAAAAAGGTGCCTATTGTAAGAAAAGTTGCGAATTTTTGTGATGGAAGTTACGATTTTTGTGGTGTAAGTTATGAATGGCGAAGTTATTGTGTGCATCCCTAAAGTTATGAATAACAAAGTTATGCTTGTGATGTGCAAAAAGTAATGTTTTTTGTGATGAGCCAAAAGTTACATCTTTTGTGATAAAAGTTATACATTTTGTGGTAGAAATACTTTTTTGTATAAGGTGCATACCATATGCACCTTTTCTAGAGTGCACGTGGTAGCCTTTCCTTGACATGTTGGGGACACACAAATATAGAATTTTATATATTTATTGTTTGTCATATATACAAGATCAGGATTTGCTTGATGAGTGTTGGTGTTTTACTTGAGTCTGACACAGGGATGCCACTTTCTTAGAACTGTTCATGCTTCTTTGTTCAAAACATTTTTGGGTCTTAATTTCATTATTATGGGTGGAGTTGATTTTTTAGGCTGACTACATGTTCTTAGGATTTTGAAAGGCCTATAACTGGGTCAATCGGAGTGGAATTGAGATATTGCTAGATGGATGAATATGAATGATTATTTCATAGAAATTCACTTTATCCTATCATTATTCATCTTTCTTGATCCCCTTATTGTTACATGTTTCAAATCCTTTCCTCCCATCTTTCTTCATAGCCACCTTATTATTATTTTTTCTGTACTTTTTTCATTTCATTTTAGAGGCTTGGAAGTCATTTAAGCTTTCTTTATTTATTTTCAGTCATTCCCCCCCCCCCCCCCCCCCTTCTCCTCTTCTCTTGTGAATAGGTGGACTGGATAATGTGATCCACCTTTCTCTACTAGCGTCCTCTTTTCTCCGTGTGTGTGTGTGTGTGAAGATCAGTGTTTTCTGTTTGCCACTGTGTTTAAGAAATTTTCGATTGCTTTCCACATGCTTTTGCACTTGATTGTTGTGCCATGCACTGTTCTCATGATTGTGATGATTACGAGGCACCTTTGCATGGGCTTCTGATTCCACTGTCTGGCCACCCTATTTAGGAATTTCTTTGATGACCATCTCCAAACAACTTACTCCTTTCCCCAATTGCTCCTTGGATTAAATTCTAAAATGGCAATATCGAATGATATTTCATTCTAGTCTAGTGAGTTCAGATTCTGTGTCTGCTTGTCGAGTGCCTGAGGTGTAGGAATCAGGCTTGGCAATTTCTCTGTCATAAGCTGAACTATGTAGCTCGTAATGTCATTTGCAACCAAGATGATTTTGAATTATTTTATTGAACAGTTATTAGTTGTGTCTCCACATTGCTCTTTAGGTTTGGTTCCAACTCTTATAGACATACACTGACACTCAAATATTTTTTCGCTTGGAACTGTGATAAGCACCTCTGCTTTGACAATGTTGACTCTCATTTCCTTCTTCCTCTTTATCATTCTAGTGAAACAGAATCTAAAAAACCAACACACCAAATGACAAAATGGTTTCCTTCAGAACCCTAGATGCTTTTGGATTCGGATGGGGACTTGACTAGCAGTAGTGTTCCCAGCAGTTCGAAAACCATAACATTCTCCATAACTTGCCAGATTCTTTCCATCCACTCCTCCACAGCTTTCAATGATCTAACTGGTTTGCTAAACCTCCACAGGACAAGTTTTTGAAAACTCCTTGTCGCTTACCCCTTCTGATTTGAATGATTAGCACATGCTTCACCTTTTTTATGTTTATAAATTCTCTCGAGAACGAATCATTGCCAGAACTCTCTATGTCCCATTTATGTCACTTTTGTTTTAGCAGTTAGCAAATCATGTATAATTTAGCACTTCGAATTATCTGCTAATTTATATATTTATTCCACATTTATAGTTGTGTTTGACAGCTTTGTGTTCTTTTGCCTGCGTTGCTTTTCCTTGATCTATATTCTTGAATTATTTGTGTGATTATTGTGAACTTATTGCCGATAATTGCCACATGATTTTGCAATGCGAACCTAATGACTATATATCTCTGTATTTCAGTGCTTCCCATACATCCTTAACATGTGGTATCCTAAAAAAAGAATGCCATTTTGATTTTGTTTCCCTCTGTTCCTAAAAGTTTAAGAAACTGAAAATTCACAAAGACACAGTGAAGGTCACTCTCCATGTGATTTATTTATGCATTTTTTATTATATAATGCAATATTGTATTTTGATTAATTTTTTTGTTTTTAACTTGCCTGCAAGATGCAATTTTTTGTAGTTTTGAAAATTTGTATCTATTCGTTGCTTGGTATGTAGTAAATCCTGAATTTTGAATGTGACAATTGGTGCAAACAGTGTAGGAATTGAATGCCTCTGTTTGGGAAGATGGGTTGGGTTGGGTTGGGTTTGGGGCTATTTTAGCCACAAAAAGATAAAATAGGCTTTTTAGCCCAATAAGACAAAACATCACATTCAACCCATAATCATTACATTCTTTTTTTCACAAAAAGTTAAAAAAGCCAAAAAGCCCTTCCCAAACGAGGCTTTTTAGCCCCAAGCTAAAATAGCCAAAAAGCTAACCCACTTCCCAAACGAACCCTAAGTAATAATCAAGATGCAGAAATCAGTATAATGTCATATTCGTATGCGATGAGAATCTTATTTGTTGTACTAGGGTGTATTATGAGCTTAGCTGCACGCCACGGGGTCAGCAGGGGGTAGGGGCAATGAGCAAAGGCATGCAGAAGTGTCTTTAAGGTTGGGAGCTCTTAGAGGAGCATTTATATATAAATAAATGTAAGAAATGTATGCATATATTATTTTTAGTAGTTGTGGAAAGAATAGAAGGCAAAAGGTTTAGGTAATTTATACCATTTTAATTTTTTCTTCATTTTTTTAAAATCTAATTTCATTTTGACGTAGATTGATTTGTTCGTCCTTTTTTTACCCCACATGCTATATATCTGTTCTAACTCGATTTTCCTCTGAACCATGGAATTGTGGTTCTAGAGCAGAAACGTCACCCCAGTAGATGATTAATGCAACTAAGATTCTGAGGCTACCGGTTTGCATTCAATTTCAGGGTTCACATTTACAGAAATCAATTCTGTTCGAGCTAGTGGAAGCAAAGTTGCGTGTTGCCACTTCTCTTCTGATGGAAAACTGCTTGCAAGTGGTGGCCATGACAAAAAGGTGCGTACAAGTGGGTGGATGGGATTTTAGGAATGTTTCCAAGAATATGTTTGAAAAGCTACAATATATGTGCAGGGAGACTTGAAGCAGCTTAATATTGATTAATTCAATCTTAGAAGAGTAATGTGTTCTTTTTCACGTCATGACTTTTGATGCAGGCTGTATTGTGGCATACGGACACTTTAAAGGCAAAAAGTACACTTGAAGAACATTCTTCTTTAATTACTGATGTCCGTTTCAGTCCCAGCATGCCACGACTTGCAACATCTTCTTTCGACAAAACTGTGAGGGTTTGGGATGCTGACAATGTTAGTACTCATTTTTCTTTCCTTTCCTTGTTCATCATATTTTTTTTGTTCTACAGTTTGTTCACATGTATGGTTGCTTTCTCTTCACATAAACTATCTTGTCGCTGAATGCTTTTTGTTAACCAATCTTCTATTTTGCATCATATTGTATTGGCCCTGTTTTATGTAGGGCTCTGACCAAAGAATCCTATTATATAGGAGTGTGTTTGGGAGTAGGTGGAGAGTAGGAGAAGTGTGGTAGGTGGTAGTGGTAGAGTGGGTTAGGTTTAGTGGAGTAGGTGAGGTGGTAGTGGTGGTAGGTGATGGTAAATTCTAACAACATGTATGGTTGCTTTCTCTTCACATAAACTATCTTGTCGCTGAATGCTTTTTGTTAACCAATCTTCTATTTTGCATCATATTGTATTGGCCCTGTTTTATGTAGGGCTCTGACCTTGGTTTCAGACTATTTATGTGGTGATCCTTATCCAATCCATTATTTTTCCTTATTTTTTTGGATCAACTGAATGTCCATGTGAATTCAGTCTGGCAAGCTGATAGATCAACTGAATGTCCATGTGCATTCAAAAACCTTTTGATATTGAATCTCTGATCTGGAAATTTACATGGTGTGCCACGTGTGACTATATTTGGGAAGTTAGACAAATCTTCAATAAATTCACAACATCTTGATTGGATCAGTATTCATATTAATTAATGATTTAAATAAAATAAAATAAAATAAAAAAACTAGGTATGTTTATAGATAGGCAGTCTCAAATGCAATGAGAGAGCACAACATAAGTGCAGAGAGAATATTTTTTTATAACCCACTCCAAGCCTGGATATTTGAGATTTGTGCAACACTAATAAGTACAAATTTTCTTGAGGGGTGTTTTGATTTTAGTTTCTTAGTTCATTTTTGATTGTCTGTTGGCAGATCTATCTTATCTTTTGGTATGATGCCCTAGTCTTACTTGATTTGACTTCAACTGCAGCCTGGCTATTCACTTCGTACTTTTACTGGACATTCGTCTACTGCTATGTCTCTAGACTTCCATCCGAATAAAGATGACCTTATCTGTTCTTGTGACGGGGACGGTGAGATAAGATACTGGAGTATTAACAATGGAAGTTGTGCAAGAGTATTCAAGGTAAAACCTATTGAACTTCTTGCCTCCATTGTAAAATTAGATGCATAATTTTTTCTGTTAGTTATTTATTTGATCATTTCTCTTAAAATTATCAAATGTTGTGCACATAATGATTATATTAGTTTTATGACCAAATTATTTTATTTTATCTTTTGTAATGGGGGCTGCAGTTAATCTTTTTTTTTTTTTTTGTGGGATTAGGGTGGCACTACGCAGGTGAGATTTCAGCCCCGTCTGGGAAGATATCTCGCTGCAGCTGCTGAGAATGTTGTGTCCATACTCGATGTGGAAACACAAGCTTGTCGGCATTCATTACAGGTCAGTTTTTATGTCAGAACGTCCTTATTGCCAGAGCAATAGTGGCTTTGCTAGACCAATGTGCAGTTTAATTCTTTGGACAGCAGTAAATTGCCTTAGCAATGCTTATTAAAAAATAAAAATAAAAAATATAGGCCACAGAAGCATCTATACACGCCAATAGATAGATAGTACTTCAATTTAGTTATTGACTTCCATGAGTAGAACTAAAGCTTTGTTTGTTTGAACGTAAAATCTTTTACACAAAAAAATGCTTTCGTTTTTCGGCGTTTGGTTGACACTTGAAACAAAAATATTTTATTGGTTAAAAGAGAAATTTTGATTCAATAAAGTGTCATGACTTTTTAGTGAGTTAAGATATTTATTTGAAAAGGCTAAATGTGTTAAAAAGGTAGTAAGTGATAGTCAACTTTGTAAAAATTGCCTTACAGAATTTTTTAAGGATAGTTATTTTTGAGAAAATGATGCAAAGATATTTTCATTAAAAAATGTTTTACTCACTTTTTGTTTAACCAAACAACGGGAAATGAGTAAAATAATTTTGACAAAAATATTTTATGTTGAAACAAACGGAGCCTAAGTAATTACTACAAAATGGTTATGTTTGTATACCATGCCAAGAAAGGGAGAAAAAAATGGAGCTAGATATATACAATACATGTATCATCGTGTTTTAAGTGGAGCCAATTCAATAATTTCCTTGCATAGCAAGCCAATTTTTCAAGGGCAGCCTGGCAAAAAGCTATGCCTAAATACTCCAAAATATCTGCTTACACTTGGGCATTATTCTTCAGAATGATGTACTGCATATATGCATTCTTCACCTAAAATGGTACTGTTCTTGATATTACTTTCAAAGCTTGAACCATAAAATTACTCTTGATGTTTGATAAGTTGTCTATTCACATTTAGGATGCCTTCAAGATACCACTATGCTAATCATATCGTTTGCTTAACAAATCTTATCTAATGCCAAGTAGTGATTGAAATTATTATTGATGCCAATCATTTGGTAGGTTATCTGTGGGAACTATTTTCTTGGGATATACTTCATCGTTGGTCCACATTTGATTTCTTCGTACATTTACTCAAGTCTAACAAAAAGTTTCTTCTAGAGATTATTACAATTTTACCCTCTTTGGCTATTGGTTGCTGCTAATAGCACCCTAATTTCTTCTTTGGACCCTTACCTATTCAAAAAAAACATTATTACGATTTTACTCTCATAAAATTTCATTGATATTGAATCTCTGATCTGGAAATTTACATGGTGTGCCACGTGTGACTATATTTGGGAAGTTAGACAAATCTTCAATAAATTCACAACATCTTGATTGGATCAGTATTCATATTAATTAATGATTTAAATAAAAAAAAAAAAAAAAAAAACTAGGTATGTTTATAGATAGGCAGTCTCAAATGCAATGAGAGAGCACAACATAAGTGCAGAGAGAATATTTTTTTATAACCCACTCCAAGCCTGGATATTTGAGATTTGTGCAACACTAATAAGTACAAATTTTCTTGAGGGGTGTTTTGATTTTAGTTTCTTAGTTCATTTTTGATTGTCTGTTGGCAGATCTATCTTATCTTTTGGTATGATGCCCTAGTCTTACTTGATTTGACTTCAACTGCAGCCTGGCTATTCACTTCGTACTTTTACTGGACATTCGTCTACTGCTATGTCTCTAGACTTCCATCCGAATAAAGATGACCTTATCTGTTCTTGTGACGGGGACGGTGAGATAAGATACTGGAGTATTAACAATGGAAGTTGTGCAAGAGTATTCAAGGTAAAACCTATTGAACTTCTTGCCTCCATTGTAAAATTAGATGCATAATTTTTTCTGTTAGTTATTTATTTGATCTTTAGATGAAAAATTATCAAATGTTGTGCACATAATGATTATATTAGTTTTATGACCAAATTATTTTATTTTATCTTTTGTAAAAATTTAATGTAATCATTATGTGCACAACACTTGACAATTTTTTATCCAAATATCTAACAAATGATTTATAAAACGATTTAATATTCAAATTCAAATAGTTTGAGGGGGGTAATTGTTAAGTTTAAATCATTAAGAGGGTAAAGTGTAAATATGATAATTTGAGGGGGTTTAATATAATATGCCCATATAAAATTACTCTTTATTGGTAATTTGTTTCAAATGCAATGAGTTGTAAATGTATTCATGCTTTTCGTTTAAAAGTATATTGTAACATCATTAATGACAAAAAGGATATAATATTTTCTCATCACAAAACATATTTTGTTTGATGGTACACACCATAAATATTTGTAACTCTTTCAAGATTATAAAATAAATAATAATAATAACAATAACAATAATACATGGTTACAAAGGAATCTTGATTCAATCAATTGGGTTTAAAATGAATGGAGTTTAATAATTTAATATAAATCCCAACTGAGATTAAAGTATAAATTCAATTTGATTCAACTTGTTACACATATT